TCTCTTGAGTGAGCTTTATTATTGATAGAGAGGATTCAAGGTAGTGTTGCACGGATGCCACAGACCCTTTGAGTCCCTTCCCTTATCTTTATTCTATTATTACTGCATTCAGACAATATTTTACTATTGAGATATCTTCTTGTATTCAGCTTTAAAGCTTATAACTATGTACTACCTGGTTTTGGGAATTTGGTATTTTGGTATCTGTGTACTAGCTTATGTTGAATGCTTATTCCGTTATTTCTGATAATTTAGGCATATTATATCTTATTTAGTTATTTTATATTATTTTGTATTTGACTTACCTAGTCTTGGAGGTTAGGTGCCATCACGACTTTGGTGGGATTTTGGGTCGTGACAAGTACCTCCAGGTATATAACCACTCGGAACCGTATATAGCCATCAGGCCCAGAGAAATCCATCACGGAATATACTCATCAATTACTATAAGTCACCCGGTACCGAGAAAAAAGGGTAATCCAACCCTGTGGAGAAATCCAACTATCAGCGCCCTATGTTCATATGTTCTACAGGTCATGAGCAAGTTTACTAGAGTCCATCGGATCTGTATGAAGACGTCTATACATATCTTCAAGAGGCTACCGGAATCTTAGGGAAACTTCTCTTTCTTTAATTTTTTATCGTGCGGATCTGTTTACCCCAAAGTTTGAGCCTTTCTCTTCTATTTTCTCACAGATGGTGAGGACACGTTCTTCTGGAGCACATGCCGTAGCCAGGGGTCCTGCTAGAGCAGCCTTTATGGAGCCACCAATAGCTCCAGTGGAGGAGCGGATGCCTAGTCATACTGAGCAGGTGGGACCAGCTCAGGCACCTGAGGGACCTATTGCTACATCTAGACTCCAGGAGACTTTGGCTCATATCCTGAGTCTGTTTGAGAGCTTGACCCTAGTGGAGATGATTCCAGTTGCACCGGCTACTTCACAGGCTGGGAGAGGAGCCCAGACTCCCGCCGCCCATACACCAGAACAACTAATTCATGGTTATCAGACTCTAGGGGTTATCCTAGTGCAGCCAGTCGCCATATAGCCTAAGATTAGGTCACCCTTGACTGTGAAGGAGCAGAAGAGGATAGACAGGTTTTAGATGCTTCGTCCTCGTTATTTTAGTGAAGAGATAAGGATGTACAAGGTTTTCTTTATCAGTGTCATCATACTTTGCACACTTTGGGTTTGGTGGTTTCGAATAGGGTTGACTTTACTACCTTCTAGTTATCAGGGCCAGCATACAGATGGTGGCAGACTTATGAGTAGAGTAGGCCAGCAAGCGCCACACTACTCACATGGCCTTTTTTCTCAGTACTTTTCTTGGAGGAGTTTATCGCATATACTAACAAGGATGAGTTGCGCAATGAGTTTGAGCATTTGTGCTATGAGGGTGTGACCGTGACCCAATAAGCTATGAGGTTTATGGATTTATGATGTTATGTAGTTGTTCTAGTTTCCACTAAGAAGGAGAGGGTCCGCAAATTTGTTGGGAGACTCACCTACAACCTTAGGTTCGAGATGGCATGAGAGATAGAGGCTGAGACTGCTTTTTATTACGCTGTGGAGATTTCTAGGAGACTGGAGCATATTCACATGAAGGAAAAAAAGGACATGGAAGCTAACAAGCCTCGTGGTTTTGGAGGATTTAATGGTGCCTACTCGGGGGCAAGGGTCATCATGGTAGAGGCTATGTCAGTGGACTAGTTTAGTTAGCACCTCAGGTTTCACGTAGTGCTCCACCTAGCCATGGATTTCTGACCGCTCGCACCGAGCAGTCATCCTTTAGTGCACCTCCCGCATGTGGTTCATACAGTGGTTATTCCAGTCGTCTAAGGCAGACTTAGTCCGAGCAGCTACGTCTACGGAGAGCTTGTTTTGAGTGTGGTGATTTGAGGCTCGTGATGAGAGATTTTCCTAGGCTTCGAATCAGTGCAGGGTACCCAAGCTATGATTCTTGTACACCACCTGCACAGCCAGCTAGAGGTGGTGGACAAGCGGGTAGAGGTCGTCCAAGAGAGGGAGGCCAGACCCATTGTTATACTTTCCGTAGTAGGACAGAGGCGGTCGCATAAGATGTAATCATTACATATATTATTTCGGCTGTCATAGAGATTCTTCAGTATTATTTTATCCGAATTCTAGTTATTCGTATGTATCAACCTACTTTGCATTCTATTTGGATGTGCCTCATGACTCTTTGGGTAGTACTGTTTATGTGTCTATGCCTGTTGGGGATTCTATTATGGTAGATCGTATCTATCTTTCTTGTGTGGTTATTATTGGGGGTTGTGAGACTAGCGTTGTTTTTCTGCTGCTTGACATGGTTGATTTCGAGGTGATTTTGGGTGTGGATTCGCTATCTCTGTACCATGTTATTCTTGATTGTGATGCTAAGACCGTGATGTTAGCTATATTGGCATTGCCAAAGTTTGAATAGAAGGGTTTGCTTAGTTACGCTCCTAGTAGGGTTAACTTTTGAAGTCTCAACATATGGCTGAGAAGGGATGTTTGGCATATCTAGCCTTTGTCAGAGATGTTAGTGTTGATACTCCTATGGTTGATTCAGTGCCCACAATAAGAGAGCTTCCATATGTATTCCTAGTAGGCCTACCGGGCATGGCACCTGATAGATATATTGATTTTGCTATTGCTCTGGGAACAGGCACTCAACCCATATCTATTCAACCGTATCGAATGTCTCCAGTCGAGTTGAAAGAATTGAAGGAAAAATTGCAGGAATTGTCGAATAAAGGTTTCATCAGGCCAAGTATTTCACCTTGGGTTGCGCCGGTATTATTTGTGAATAAGAAGGATGGTTTCATGAGGATCTGCATTGAATGTAGGCAACTGAATAAGGTTACCATAAAAACAGGTACCTACTGCCTCGCATTGATGATTTGTTTGATCAGCTTCAGAGCACTAGGGTATTCTCACTGATTGACTTGAATCGGTGTACCATCAGTTAGAGATCAGGGATTCGAACATTCCTAAGACGGCTTTCAAGACCCGTTATGGACATTATGAGTTCTTGGTAATGTCTTTTGGTTTGACTAATTCCTCAACAATTTTTATGCATTTAACCAATAGTGTGTTCCAACCTTATTTGGATTCTTTTGTCATAGTGTTCATTGATGATATCATAGTATATTACCATAGCAAGGAAGATGAAGAGCAGCATTTGAAGATTGTACTTCAGATTATGATGGAGAAGAAGTTATTTGCCAAGTCTTCAAGTATGAGTTCTGGTTAGATTTAGTGGCATTCTTGGGCTATGTGGTGTCTAGTGAGGGGATTAAGGTGGATCCAAAGAAGATTGAGGCGGTTTAGAGTTGGACCAAACCTTTTACAGCCACAAGGATCAGGAGATTTCTGGGTTTGGTTAGTTACTATCGTCGCTTCGTTGAGGGTTTCTCGTCTATTATAGATCCATTGACCAAGTTGACTCAGAAGGGCGCTCCTTCAGAAGCTCAAGATTGCTTTAACTATAGCTCTAGTTTTAGTACTTCCCTCAGGATTGGGGTTGTATACGGTCTAGTATGATGCTTCGCATGTTGTCCTTGGGTGAGCATTGATGCGGGAGGGTAGGGTGATTGCCTATGCGTTGCACCAGTCGAAGCCCTATGAGAAGAATTACTCAGTTCATGATTTGGAGTTAGTAACTATTGTTTACACGCTCAAGATTTGGAGGCATTACTTATATCTTGTGAGGTTTACACTGATCACCAGAGCCTTCAGTATTTGTTCAAGTTGAAGGATTTAAATTTGAGGCGTAGGGTATGGTCGGCGTTGTTGAAGGATTATGATATCACTATTTCATATCGTCCAATGAATGCTAATGTAGTAGCAGATGCCTTGAGTAGAAAGGCAAAAAGTATAGGGAGTTTGGAATTTATTCCAGCTGTGGTGAGGCCTTTATCCATATATGTTCAAGCATTAGCCAATAGATTAGTGAGATTGGCATTTCTAAGCCTAGTAGAGTCCTTATGTATTGTTTCACACTCGTCCTTATTTGAGCGCATTAAGTCTCCCCATTATGATTATCCCTATTTGCTTGTCCTTAAGGACACGGTGTAATGAAGTGGTGCTAAGGAGATGACTATTGGTGATGATGGTGTATTGCGACTTCAGGGTCGAGTTTAGAGAGTTGATTCGTGAGAAGGCTCATAGTTCACAGTATTCTATTTATCCAAGTGCTACGAAGATATATCGCGATTTGAAGTAGCATTATTGCTGGAGGAGGATGAAGAAGTATATTATTGGTCATGTTTCTAAGTATTTGAAATGTCAATAGTTTAAGTATGAGCATTACAAACTGGGTGGTTTGCTTTAGAAAATTGATATACCAGAGTGAAAGTGGGAGCACATTACTATGGACTTTATGGTAGGGTTGCCATGAACCTTGAGGAAATTTGATATCATTTGGGTCATTGTTGATCATTTGACCGAGTCCACCAATTTCATTCCGGTTATGACTTCCTACACTTAAGAGAAGTTGGCTCTAATCTACATCAGAGAGATTGTTCACTTGCATGGTGTACCTATCTCTATATCTCAGACTGCAACACTCAGTTACCTCGCATTTTTGAAGAGTTGTTCACCGTGAGTTGGGCATGTAGGTGTAGTTGAGTACTGCATTTTTGGATGGCAATCTGAGCAGACCATTCAAATCTTGAGGATATGTTGAAGGAAGCCTCATTGATTTTGGGGGCCAGTGGGACCAGTTTCTACCACTAGCGGAGTTTTCCTACAACAATAGATACTAGTGTAGTATCCAGATGGCTTTGTACCTGCCCCTATATGGGAGGTGATATCATTCTCCGATTGAAAGGTTTGAGCCTGGATGTTTTGAAGAAGGTGAAGTTAATTCAGGATTTCACACAACTCAATCTAGGCAAAAGTAATATGTTGATAGGAAGGTTCGTGTGTGGCTTTCATGGAGGGTGAGAAGGTTCTTCTTAGAGTTTCACCTATGAAGGGAGTATGAGGTTTGGAAAGATGGTCAAATTAAGCCCGAGGTTTATTGGTCCTTTTGAGGTGTTGGACAGAGTTGTCGAAGTTTCTTATAGACTCACTTTACCTCATCTTTCAGGAGTTCATATGGTGTTTTATGTTTCAATGCTTCAGAAATACAATGAAGATAAGTCACATGTTTTGGACTACAACACAGTGTTGTTGGATGAGAATCTGGCTTATGAAGAAGAATCGATGGCCATTTTGGATAGGCAGGTTCGGAAGCTCAGGTAAAAGGTGATCGCATCAGTGAAGGCTTGGTGGAGAGGTCGACTTGTTGAGGAAGAGACTTGGGAGACCGAGCATGATATACGGAGTAGATACCCTCCCCTTTTTGGCATTTCATGTATGATTCAAAACTCGTTCGAGGATGAACGTTTGTTTAAGAATGGAAGAATGTATCAACCCGACTGTTCGTTTTGTGTATTTGAGACCCATTACCTTATTTGATGTTTCTTATATGCTTTTTTGTTGTATTGCAACTTGCGACCAAAGTTAGTTTAGTTCTGGAAAGGTTTTGAAGTGAATTGGAATACTTCCATTTTTGGAAGCTTGTAAGATTTTAGCAAAGTTTGACTTTTGTGTAAACTACCTCAGATTTGTGATTTTATGGTTCCAATAGTTTTATAAGGTAATTTTGGACTTAGGCGTATGTTCAAATTTGGATTTGAAGGTTCCTAGGATCTTTTGGCTCTATTTGCCGAAAGTTGGCAATTTGAAGGTTTGGAGAGTTCTTAAGTTTGACCAAGAGTTGACTTTGATGATATCAGATTTGGATTGTTGTTCCGAAACATAGAATAGGTTCTTTTTCTCATTTGAAACTTGTGTGGAAAGTTTGAATGTAATCCAAATTAGTTAGGCTTGAATTTGCTTGGTTTGAAGTTGGAAGTTCATGAACTTAAGAGAAGTTCAACTTGTGTTTTGATCTTTGATTTATTGATATGATGTTATCGTATGTGTTTGGAGGCTTTGGATAAGTTGGGGTACTTTTTGTGTACTTTTTGGTGTGATTGGACGGGGTCCTGGGTGGTTTGGTGAGTATCGGACCACCTGAAGCATTCTTGGTATTGCAGATTTTTGTTGGTATCAAGTCCTTCATCGCGATCGCAGAGTGCATTTTTGAGCTAGGGGAGATTGTTCTTCACATTCGCGACTGGGATTTCATTCTTGATAGTTGGGGGACTTGTTATTCACATTCGCGCTAGGAGGATCGCGTTCGCGATTAGGAGCTAAGAGCTAGAGGATAGGCCTTCGCATTGTGAAGGCCTGGTCGTGATCGGGTAGTGGGGCAGGCTTGTTCATCACATTTGCTTATTTTGTAGGAAGAAGTTGTTGTACTTCCCGAATGCGAGGCACGTGCCGAATTCACAAAGAGTGCCCTGGGGCAGTGCATTTAAGTGTTGAATTTTGGGATTTTAGCCCTTCTTTCATATTTCGAACCCTAGACCTGGAGAGGGGCAATTTTCTTGGAGATTTTCATACAAGACTTTGGAGTAAGTGAGTTCTACTCATTTTTGGTATTATTTCAAGAATCTACACGGATTATTAACACCCAAAACATTGAATTTTTGAGGAAAATTTGGGGTATTTTCCAACAACTTAAGAGAGTTAAAATTAGGATTTTGAGCTATGATTTTGACTTGGTTTTGGAATCTAAACACATATTTTGACTCGTGGCATAATGGATAGTCGGGTTTTACCGTTTTATCGAGTTTTGACAATGTGGGACTGAATTGACTTTTGTTTACTTTTTTGGAATTGAATAAAGCTTTAAGATTTATTGTTTGGAATTGATTTTTATAGCTTCGTTTGCCGTTATTGAGTTGGTTTTGGCTAGATTCAAACCGGTTGGAGGTGTTTGCTAAGGAAAAGGCGATTTTCGAAGGTTGATTTAGGCTTGTTAAGATAAGTATCTTGGATAATATTGTGTGAGGAAATAACCCTTACGATTGGACCTTAATTATCTAATTGTATTATGTGAAAAGAAACATGTATGCGAGGGGACGAGCATATATATGGGTGCTATGTGTTACTTATGACCGAATTTAGATTCTAGGCTTCTATTATGTCTTACTTTGATCATGTGCTTTCTATGATACATGTTTAATCATTGTATGACTACGTGAACTTATCCTTCCGTGATAGAGATCATGATTAGGATTATTATCTCCTAATTAGACAAGATGGGCTATTGTGGAATTTGTTGCTATAACCGTGGTTATACATCATATCTTGAGCACACATCTGCACTATATTATTATTATTATTATAATAATAATTATTATTATTATTATTATTATTATTATTGTTGTTGTTATTGTTATTATGTCCTTGTGCACTTTATTGATAAACTGTGAGCATGTGTCTCTTTATGATAAATTGGTATCTTTGATTGTTGTTCTTCTGGTACTTATGGACATATTTGAATGGATTGATTTAGTGTTAGCTCGAGGTCTCTTCCGTGCACATATTGTGGCATTGTTATTGTCAGGGCACGAGGTCTTCGACGTGCAGTTATGATGAAATTGGTATTGTTATGGCACGAAGTCATTGTCGTGCAACGTGTGGATATGGATCCATCCCCCCTAAGGTCGCCATCTCATGTTTCTCTCTTGATGGCATACACCCTAGATTGTTCGAATTGACTTATGTTGGGTGATTCTGATATGGAATCTGATGATGGTGGGTTGTAGCGCATAAAGGTGGAAGCTTTGACTATGCAAATGAATCCTTTATGCCTTATTATGCACTTTACATGCTTCATGTTGAATTCTAACATGCTACGTTGTGCCTATGTTATTTGTTGATGGCTTGACTGTCAAGATTGATATATCTATGCTGATAAAGCTCGTGATTTGATAATTAATGATATTGCATCGTGTTATATTCTTTTTAGAAGGTAGTATATTTAGTGAGTATCACATAACTTTAACCTTGTCACTACTTTACTGAGGTTAGTCTTGATACTTATTGAGTACACATTGTCCTTACTCATGCTACACTTTTGCATATTTTTATGCAGATTCGGGCGTTAGTGGGAGGGTATGTGGGGAGTGAGGTTTACTATTGATAAAGAGGATTCAAGGTAGTGCCATATGGACATTGTGGACCCTTGGAGTCCCCTTCCTTTATCTATATACTATTATTACTATATCTAGACAATATACTATTGTTGAGATATCTTCCTATATTCTATTTTAGAGCTCATGACTTTGTGTTACCTGGTTTGGGAAATTTTGTATTATGGTATCTGTGTACTAGATTATGTTGAATGCTTATTCTTCTATCTATGATAATTTGGGCATATCATATCTTTTTTCATTATTTTTATATTATTGTATGATTAGCTTACCTAGTCTTGGAGGTTAGATGCCATCACGACCTTTGGTGAGATTTTGGGTCGTGACAATGCTTTATTCCATGTGATATTTATGCTTCTATGCTTATTGAGTTGTTAGTAAGTGTTAATGTCGACCTCTTGCCACTACTTCTTTGAGGCTAGACTTGATATTTTCTAAGTACCATGGTTTTGCACTCATACTACACTACTGCACATTATTGTGTAGGTTCTAAGGCTAGTTTTAATGGTATTCGCTAAACGGAGTAGGGGCTCTATTTGGAGACTTCGTGGTGAGCTGCTTATTTGACCGGATCAGCAGCACATGAAATCCCCCTTCCCTACTCTTTTATATTTGTCTATGTATTTTTGTCATTCCGGACAGACATTCTATGTTAGTTGAGACTTTGTACTTTTGTTCGATACTCGTAACTATATTGTAACACCTAGTTTTGGGAGAGTTTGTGAGACAATTGTGGTCATGTCTAGCCCTATATGAGATTCATGTACTTTTGATGTTGAGTTATGACTTATTTTGCCTTGCTATTTATGTCATGAATCAGTTAACTGCTTAAAATTGAATTCTTTTATAGTTGTTGAGTGTTAGCTCGCCTAGAAAATGTGTTAAGCACCACCATGGCATTTAGTGGGATTTAGGGTCATGATAAGTTGGTATAAGAGGTTTTAAGGGTCTCATAACTCACGAACAGTTCTAGTAGAGTGTTGTGGATCGGTACAGAGACGTTAGTATCTATCTATGAAAGGCTGTAAGGCTTTAGGAAACTTCCTTTTTCTTGATTCTTTGTCATGCGTTAATTATTGTATGAGCCCGAATTTTCTCTTCTACACTCTTACATATGGTTAGAACACATGCTTCAGCAATGGTAGGTGATGGAGAGGCAATACCACCGGTTGTAGCCATAAGGGACAGGGCTCGGGGGTAGGGCCAAGGCTCCCACCAGATGACGCACAGGGGCGGCTAAGGGTAAAGCACCTACTAGAGCCCATGAGTGTGCTAGGGAAATATCAGTGGATCCACCTGCGGATCAGGTACAAGATCAGTTTATTAATGATCATGTTGAGACCCCACTTCCCCCTCAACACTTAGAGGGTTTTGTTGCTGCACCGGTATTCCAAGAGGCCATCGCAGAGAAGATCAATTTTACTGACGCTTTGACTCAGGTTGGAGTGGTTCCAATGGCCCCAACCATATCTCAGGCTAGAGTAGGAGTTCAGACCTCTACTACCCGCACTCCGAAGTAGCATATTATAGTAGCTAGATCTTTGGTTATACATGTTATGTCTTGTGATGAGCAGAAGAGGATGCAGAGGTTTCATAGGTTGTATCCTCTACACTTTGAGGGAAGTGCTTCATAGGATGCCCATGATTTTCTGGATCGATATCATCAGATGCTTTGCAACTTGGGCTTGGTAGAGTCCAACGGGGTGGACTTCACTGCATTTCCGTTTGGAGGAACTACCATAAGATGGTGGTAGACTTATGACCTGGGCAGGCCAGCAGGTTCACCTTCTCTTATATGGGCTAAGTTCTCACAGTTATTCCTTGAGATGTATATCTAACACACCAGGCGGGATTAGTTGAGAGACCAATTTCAGCATCTTCAGTAGGATCGCATGACTATGACTAAGTATGAGTCAAGATTCATCGAGGTGTCTTATTATACTGCTATTCTTATCCCCCATCGAGTTTGAGAGGGTGAGGCAATTTATTAAGAGTTTGAATTAGGACTTAAGGATTTATATGCCTCAAGAGTCAAAGATTGGGAATACTTTCCTCTAGACTGTGGAGATAGCTTGGAAGATCGAGCATATTTATAGCCAGGGGCGAGAGGGTATGGGGAGAGATAAGAGACCTCGTCATTCTAGTAGCCTTAGTGGTACCTCATCTGGAAGAAGGGGTCAGTTTGGTGGAGGCCATCGTGGTAGGCCAGATCATTCTACACAACATGTAGCCCATGGAGCAGTGACTCAGTCATCTTTCAGCACTGCAGTTCCATCATCTTTCAGTGCTCTCCCAGTGAGTTTGTATTGTGCTCCGTCTATTCAGGGTTCCTTCCAGTGGGTATTCAAGCCATTAAGGGCAAGTTCAGGTTCAACAGCCTTAGTCAGCTAGAGGTTGCTATAAGTGTGGAGATATTGACTACATGAGGAGGCATTGCCCTAGGATTGTTAGGGGCGCAGCTCCACAATTTTCTCAGCTAATGGATTCTACACTCGTTGCTACACCCCCTGCCCAGTTAGCTAGATGGAGGGACATGCAGCTAGAGGATGCTTTAAAGGAGGGGGCTAGGTTGGTGGTGGTCAGAACAATGTTAGGCATGCTCGTTATATTCTTTTTTTAGTAGACCTGATGAAGGGGCCTCGAATTTTTGCTCTTTATTTGGATGTGCCTCGTAGTTCTTTTGATGTTCCTATTCATGTATCTAAACCTGTTGGGTGGCCCTATTATGGTGGATTGTGTATATTGGTCTTGTGTGGTTACTCTTGGGGGTTATGAGACTAGGGTTAATCTTCTATTGCTTAATATAGTCGACTTTGAGGTGATTTTGGGTATGGATTGGCTATCTCTGTACCATGCTATTCTTGATTGACATGCTAAGAATGTGATGTTGACTGTGTTGGGGTTGCCAAGGTTAGAATAGAGGGATTCTCTTGATCATACGCCTAGTAGGGTGATTTCATTTCTAAAGGCTCAATGGATAGTTGAGAATAGGTGTTTGGTGTATCTTGCCTTTGTTAGAGATGTTAGTGTTGATAGTCCTACTGTTGATTCAGTCTGAGTAGTGGCGAGTTTCCAGATGTGTTTCATACAAACCTACTAGGCATGCCACTCGATAGGGATATTGATTATAGCAGTGATTTAGTGCTAGACACTCAACCCATATCTATTCTACCTTATCACATGGCTCCAGCTAAGTTGAATGAATTGAAGGAGCAGTTATAGGAGTTATTCAATAAGGGATTCATCAGGCCTAATGTTTCACCTTAGGGTATACCAATGCTATTTGTGAAGAAGAAGGATGGCTCTATGAGGATGTACATCGATTATAGGCAATTGAACAAGGTCAGTATCAAGAACAAATATCAATTGCCTTGTATTGGTGATTTTTTTATCAACTTCAGGGTTTCGGGGTGTTCTCGAAGATTGATTTGAGATCGGGTTATCACCATTTGAAGATTAGGGATTCATACATCCCTAAGACAGCTTTCAGGACTCGTTATAGACATTTGGAGTTCTTGGTGATGTCTTTTGGTTGACTAATGCGCCAGGAACTTTCATGCATTTGATGATCTTGTGTTCCATCCTTATATGAATTTATTTTCATTTGCCATTGATGATATCTTGGTGTATTCCCGCAATGCTGAGGAGTACGAGCCGTATTTGACGATTGTACTTCAGATTTTGAGGGATAAGAAGTTGTATGTGAAATTCTCCAAGTGTGAGTTTTTGTTGGACTCAATGGAATTCTTGGGCCATGTGGTGGCTAGTGATGGGATCTCAGTTGACCCAAAGAAGATTGAGGCAATTCAGGGTTGGCCCAGACCTTCTACCGCTACAGAGATCAGGAGTATCTTGGGTTTGGCTGGCTACTATGGTTGCTTTGTGATAGGGTTCTCATCTATTACAACTCCTTTGACTAACTTGACTCAGAAGGGATTTCAGTTTAGATGGTCTGACGAGTGTGAGGAGAGTTTTCAGAAGCTCAAGATTGCTTTGACTACAGCTTCATTTTTGGTGTCGCCCTCAGGATCATGGATGTATATAGTCTATTGTGATGTTTCACTCGTTGGTCTTGGTTGTGTGTTGATGCAGGACGATAAGGTGATTGCATATGCATCGCGCCAATTGAATCCTCATGAAAAGAATTATCTGGTCCATGATTTGGAGTTGATGGCTATTATGCACGCGCTCAAGATTTGGAGACACTATTTGTATGGTGTGTCTTGTGAGGTTTGAACTGATCATTGGAGTCTTCAACATTTCTTTAAGAAAAAGGATTTGAATTTGAGGTAGCGGAGGTGGTTGGAGTTGCTGAAGGATTATGATATTACTATCTTGTACCATCTAGGGAAGGCGAATGTGGTAGCGGATGCTTTGAGTAGGAAGACATAAAGTATATTGATTTTTGCATTTATTCCAGCCGCGGAAAGTCCTTTGGCTATGGATGTTTGTCACGACCCAAAATCCACTAAAGGGTCGTGATGGCGCCGGACACCACAGTCAGGCAAGCCAACCAAATACTTAATTAAATCCTCATTTTAATACTCTTGAAATCTATGATTTTCCCTTCAAATTTACCATTTTAAAAAGATAATCGCCTTAAATCAAATTAAATGATAAGCAGTTGATATAAAATACTTTACAACCATCCCAGAACCCAGGGTCAACCATGCTGCTACGCCTGCTAAGGCATTAGTGGCGCATGTGCCTGTGCAACAAAAATGCACAGAAGTGTAGTATGAGTACAAAAACAATGTGTACTCAGTAAGTATCCCGCCTAATCTCGAAGAAGTAAAGACGAGATGGCAACTTCGACACTTACTAAAGGTCCAGTTTTAATATTATTAATACGATGACCCACGGATTTATTAAGAACAACAGTAAAATTCAGATGGGTCACTAATCAGGTGGAAGTTCCTTTATATTTAAAATCTCCAGATTCATGATCCATTAATTGACAATTTTCTCAAGTCGGGGAAAGCAGATATTAGTATCAACAACTATCACAGCAAGCAATACAAGCATGCGCAACTCATGCCGAGGACGTACGACCCGATCCAACAATATTTAAACTGTGCACTGCCAAAGGGTCAAATGGCGCGAACCATAGATGCATCTATTACCCCGCTCGCGAATCATACATGCGACGCGGTCAAATATAAATAAACACGACAATCAGTCAATCCTGAATTTATCAGGGAACAATTATTCAAGGGAAAGCCAAATTATCTTTTAACAATTCAAGAAAAATGGTGTTTAATCTTCTTAGAAATTCATTCACCAAATCGATAGGACTTAAGAAATTCAACTGTCAATAAGATCACATATATTCCAAGTATAGCATGCTTTTTGGGTCCTAAACTACCCGGACTTACACATACTAGTAGCTACGCACGGACTCTCGTCACCTCGTGCGTACGTAGCCCCCACAAATAGGAGCACATAACCAATTATTTCACCTATGGGGACATTCCCTCTTAGAAGGTTAGAAAGGAGACTCACCTCGCTCCGAAGATTCATAATCGGCCTTCCACACCCTTCCGAAACTCAAATTGATGCACAACGCTCCAAAACTAGCCAATAGTTATGCGAATCCATTAATATACGATAAACTACTCATATTAATCCAATTTATAACAATTCCTAACCCCGATCGGAAAGTTAACAAAAATGCCCTTGGGCCCACGTGCCCGGATTTCCAAAATTTTCGAAGAATAAGTTTACCCATAGCCTCACGAACTCAAATATATAATTTTCTCTAAATTCCATACCCAAAATCGTGGCAAAATTCCAAGAATATAAATTTCTAGGTCATTCTACCGAACCCCCAAATTTCTACCAATTTACATGCTAATAACCATACATAATCGATGTATTTAACTCAAGATGGATGGGATTAGCTTACCTTATCGTTGATGATGAAAAATCCCACTTGAAGCTCTCCAAAATCGCCCACACCAAATGAAAAATAGGGTCAAATGACCAAACCCCCGATTTTTGAAAAGAGCCACTGCCTCCAGCTCTTTCCGCTTCTGCAGTTATGCTCACCAGGCCTCCCTTCCGCTTCTGCGCCTCATCCACCGTAGGTGTGGTCCCGCTTCTGCGGCCCCACGACCGCATCTGAGTCTCTTCACTCCTGACCCCAAAACCGCATCTGCGCCGTCCTAGCCGCTTCTACGGCTCCGCACCTGCGGCCAAACCCTCGCAGGTGCGGTCATACCAGATACCAACAACTTCAGCCCTTTCCAAAATTCCATTATCGATCCGTTAACCACCAGGAATCCACCTGAGGCCCCCGGGACTCCAACCAATCATACCAACCAGTCCCAAAACACATTACGGACTTGTTCGAGGCCTCAAATCATATCAAACACCGCCAAAACCTAGAATCGACCTCCAATCCAAGCTTTATGAACTTTAGAATTTCAAACTTCTACTTTCGATGATTAAACCCATCAAATCACGTCCCATTGACTTCAAATTTTGCGCACAAGTCATATTCGACATTACGGACCTACTC